GCAGAGGGGCCTGAGAGCATGCAGAGGGGCCTGAGAGCAGGCAGAGGGGCCTGAGAGAATGCAGAGGGGCCTGAGAGCAGGCAGAGGGGCCTGAGAGAATGCAGAGGGGCCTGAGAGAATGCAGAGGGGCCTGAGAGCGTGCAGAGGGGCCTGAGAGAATGTAGAGGGGCCTAAGAGCAGGCAGAGGGGCCTGAGAGCGTGCAGAGGGGCCTGAGAGCATGCAAAGGGGCCTGAGAGCAGGCAGAGGGGCCTGAGAGCATGCAGAGGGGCCTGAGAGCAGGCAGAGGGGCCTGAGAGAATGCAGAGGGGCCTGAGAGCAGGCAGAGGGGCCTGAGAGCGTGCAGAGGGCCCTGAGAGTGTGCAGAGGGGCCTGAGAGCGTGCAGAGGGGCCTGAGAGCAGGCAGAGGGGCCTGAGAGCAGGCAGAGGGGCCTGAGAGAATGCAGAGGGGCCTGAGAGCAGGCAGAGGGGCCTGAGAGAATGCAGAGGGGCCTGAGAGCATGTAGAGGGGCCTGAGAGCGTGCAGAGGGGCCTGAGAGCGCATGTTCCACTCTCAAGTCCCAATATGTCATTCACGAAGACAGGATCTGTTGTTTTCCTTCAATGTGTGAGGTCTGGCTTAATAATTTATAAATGAAGGATTACGTCATAATGTACATGTGCTGAACAGCTCTTCTAACTAGTCAACACATCTTTGCCTTAAAGTATGTGTGTCAGTAGTTGTAGGTCACAAAGAAAGATCTCATATTAAACAATTCTGTCCATCTGTATAATACTCATTTTTATTTATTATTTCATAGAGTTGATATGACCACACTTTTGTAAACTAACCGACTGAAAATAAGTCTAAAGCCTAAACTAACGGACTAGTAAATAAGTGTCACACAGGGTCTGGCGCAGCATCCAGGAAGTCCAGTATCTCCTTTGTACAGAAACACGGTGCTTCTTGTATCAAAAGGGGTAAATCTAAAATGTGTTAGCTTTTTTCACATTGACATGCTCAAAATTGACATGCTAACATGCACATTTTGTATGTGTGAACAGATGTAGCCGTGGAAATCTGCAAAATTATACTGAAATCAAGGGTCCGACATATTATTTTTAAAATCACTACTTTATTTTGATAATGATTCAACTAATCACAGGATACACACAAGAGAAATTAAATATTGGAATAAGATTGTACAGCAATAAAGATTTTTTTTTGTGTTCCTTTGTGAAAAGTTGTCTGGAAAAAAGTATTGAGGGGAGTATCTTAAAAAAAGTTGGCAAACATAAACTAGGATAAGTGATGATGTGTGTTGCATTTGCAACAAACAGCTGTTCTCACACTGGGCTACTGACTGCATCAGCAAGTACCTTCTCTGCTCTGAGCGATTGTATACTATGGAGACTGGTGGGGGAAAAAAAGCCTTTCAATTATCGGTCAGTGCCTGTTCTCAGGAAAGCTGTGAAATGACATGCAAAGAAACTGAGCTGGGATGTTTTTAACAGAATTCAGAATGAGGCCAGAGACTGAACGCCATGTTCTGCAAGCGTCGGAGAGGAAAACAACGTCAGTGGCGACACTTAAAGTTCGATTTAAGCCTCAATCAAATGAAAATCATGCCACAATGATATGAAGATAAAGTAAGCATGATATCTCAATTAAAATATGTAAATAAATAACACATCGATTGACAAAAAAATTAACAAAAGATTTTTAAAAATTTGAGTGACTGTACACTTGATTAGTGGACGAAAGATGGATGGATGAAAACATTGGTCTGTGATACCATTAAGAATATGGACATTTTGTTAATCATACAGCGCAGTTTACTAAATAAAATAGGAATTAACATTTTGGGTGTGCTGGAAGACCTTAACCCTATCAGGGCGTACAAATGTACAGTATGAAACTTGGAAATAATGCTAATTTGTGCAAAATCATACTGCCTATTGTGCAAAATCATACTGCCTATTGTGCAAAATCATACTGGCTATTTGTACTTAAGCAAAGACTTCTAATATTAACCTTTTAAAATAAAACCTTACTTTTTTGTTTAACAGTAAAGTCATAATTTTGTAATGGTTTCCATTACCACATGACAACACAAGAGCATCACAAAGAAACCATATCCACATAATAATACATTATAAATCATGTATCAAAAACAACCTTTTTTCCCCAGAATGCACTATTGCACACATTACTGTACGTAAGCTAGTTGTGTATTTTGTGTATATGAATACAGAAGCCATACTGTATATGGATTAAGTAAAAATACAACATTCAATGACCTTGTCTGCTGTTTTGACTTTGCTTTGACCTGCTGGTTTAATCTCAATGTCAGTCAACATCACAAAAATGAAATGACTGGTGACTCAGACAACCAAACAAGCCTGAGGCAAACTGTACAAACTAAGAACTACTGAGCAAGTTGCTCCTGGCCATTACAAGGCTTATGTTATGAGTATAAACCAAGGAGGAAAAGACGAATGTGAATGGCTAATTTGTAGCATGTGTAAGACATATCAGTTTATGACCTTTAACTGTAAACAATTATTTTTTACATAATTTGTGGAGACTGGATCCACTGTAGCTAAACGTCTCAGATCACGCCTTTCCTCATTATTTCGTGCTGTGCTTCAGAGAGGTGTTCGTTTTTGGGCTGTGGAACCTCTATTTGTGCTAGAAACGGTCCTAGGAGGTTCTTCTTGGCTGTCCCCTGTTATGAGGTTACCAGAGTGTAGATCATACTGGGCAGAGAGGAAAGGAAGAAGAAAAAAGGAATTATTGCCAATATAGGAATCAGGTGAATTTGCTAAGTAATTGAGTATCTCAAGGATCCTAAATATGGCAGGCATAAAATATGGGAGTGGTTTAGCACCAGCTGCATTCTGATTGGGTCACTTTTTTTGGCTGGGTCTCCCACCTTAGAAGGCGACTGATAGATGCACCTGAGACTTGAATTAACTAATTCTTATAACTTAGGGAGCCATTATTAGGTGAGAGTGCACTGGCAGAGCTCCTGTTTGTGTTCTGATCCTGTGGACATGCTTTTGTGTTAAAAGAGGCTCAATAATACACCAGATGAGGTTTGGCAAGAAACAAACAAAAACTGAGAATAATTTGTGCTATGCGGTCTAGATCAGAAGAAACGAGGAGTGGAGAAGATACAAGTCCTCCCCCAGCCAGAGCTGCAATTTAATTATAGCCCCCCCCCCTTCAATAACACAATCTGCTACTGAGAAGATGTTGGCTATGAACTACTTAAAGGCCTGTTTTTGCCTCACTGTTTATGGTTATGGTTCTATCATGTGGGTGGATACTGAGGACCAGGCCAACATTAAGTGAGCAATATGAAGGACCTACAAACCAGCATTTGCTAAGGCCTACTGATGGCAGTAGGTACCACTGAGGTCCTTCATAAATGAAGAGAGCACATTAGGCTGATGATGTCATTATTACGTGTTGCCTGTCCTCGCTGCTGGCCTTCACATGGCTGAGATTCAGACCAGTTAGATTGCAGTGAGTGTTGCAGTGGGCACCTCCATGGATTCTGTATCAAAACTGTCATTTCTGTCTCATTAAATTTAAGTAGCAGGTCATCTAATAAGCCATGTTAAACCATGCTATTAACGTCTGCCAACGGACTGGTTTTTAGTGATCCGTGAGTGGAACCGGCTTAACATTAGCCACTTGGGAATTGTGGGGGACCGTTGTCAGGGTTCATGCATGTGAGGGGTGCCATGGGTACGAGAGAACACACAGAAAGATCCAGAAGAGAGATTCACTGAGGCAGGAGTGAGTGGGGAGTGGAAGGTAAAAGGAGCCATTTCATTGGATGGCGACAGCCTATGATGTAAAACAAAGATGTTCATAAGAGGATGTCGTCTGGTTGGAAAGCAGGAACTTAAAGGCTGCTGCTAGCTTTTCTCTGAGTGACGTTTGTAAAACCCCATCACCTTTACCACAACGTTCAGTGCTGAGGAGTAGGGGTGCACAGAAGCGATGAGAGAACTCGACACTCGGGTCCAGCACACGCTGAAAAAGGAGGGAGGCGAAATGGCCACACACATAGCTGCCGTTTAGGAAAAGCACGAATTGAAATCCTGACCACCCTAATCACTGTGCTGGTGAAATGTACATTTACATACTGCTTTGAAATTCCACCCAACAGCTGCACTGCACTTTAAATGTAGACAGGATTCTAACACAGGATTAACAATGCAGACAGGATTTTAACACAGGATTAAAAATGTAGACAGGACTCAAACATTGAACTTTAAATGTAGGCAGAAATCAAAAACAGGGTTTTAAACTTAGACTGGATTCTAACAAATTCAAAGTTCACAACAGTATGGAAAAAAATCAGCTGTTACCAGCATTGACAATATTAATCGATATCTAAGACACTGAAACAAGTCCAGTTAATTATAATGCTGTGTCTACAAAAAGCTATTATTGGTCATTATGTTATTTTTTTTAAAGAATCTTCTAGAACATGTTTAAACACACCATGTGGTTAGATGTGAAGAGGACAGCACTGATGTATAATCAGACAAAGGATGAGGTGAAAAGGAGAGAGAGACAGAGACTCCGCTCACTGGGTGAGGAGGGGCAGGAGAACCACGCACCAGTACAGATAGTAGAAGAAGGAGAGAACGAAGAAGGCCATCTTGCACCAGGCTTCTTTCTGGCAGAACTTCAGTGTGTCGCCGTTCATGACGGACGCTGGGTCGTAGGGCAGCTCTGGGGAGTCCGTGGGGCTGTGGAAGTACCTGTCGGAGGGGGGGGGGGGGCAGCCCGATTCAGTCAGCTGCACCTGGGATTAGTGGGCGTATCCCGGAAGAGTACAAAATGCACAGCGGAGATGTGGTAAGCGGCTAGAGACACTGGGAAAACGGGGGGAGCAATTTCCCTAGAGGATGAAGCATTACAGTGAGCAGAGCGTGGAGGACGCAGGGGGACACGAGAGACCCCAGAGGAGTGACCCACAGAACGGTTACGATTGCTGGACGTCCCAAGCCCATCACTTCCGGAAAGAGCCTGATGTGGAGAATTGGAGTGGGGGCGGGGAGGGGGGTCAGACTTGTCAGAACGTTGGGGGGGGGACGGGACTCTGTGATTGTAGCGCTTTGGTAACCTGCAGGTCTTTGCTGTTCCTCAGCTGTGAACGGCCAACACTGTACTCTGACTCCTTTCACATTCCCCCCTCACCCCCCCCTCACTCATACCTAACCCTGATAACCCCTCTTTTCTGTCGTGACCTTTTATTATTTACACGTGACTAGGGCCAGTTATAGAATCTTTTTAAAGTGGAGGGCATAAGGGGCAATAATTCGTATAAAGGTGCCGACCTCATTAGTCTACAATATGTTTTGAATTGGTGACTGACAGCTAATCATCTCTGAGCCTCAGCCGGTCACCTTATGGCCCTGTCCCTATGTTTGCCCCCTGTTGCTCCAGGCCTCCAGGGTTCCCCTTCAGGAGCTCTGAGCGGACGCTAGAGAAGCAGGTATGACAGCCTGGTGAAAGCAGGAGCCTCAGAAGGGGGTCTGGGATACGGGCAGCGCATGAAAAGCTGGGGGGGGGCGGATGAGCCCTGCCAACGCCGAGCCGAGTAAACATGGAGGATGCCGGGCATCCACCTGTGCACCGCGGGGAGTCAGAGGCGAGGGGGGGGTAGATCTGAGGCTAATTTTCTCCCTGCCATCTGCGGCCAGTAGGCATCTGGCGGTGGCCGCAGTCAGCGAGACACAAAGCGCCCTGTAACTTCAGCCAGCAGAAACAACATCGACATCAGCAGCGGCACTTCTGGCCCAGACCTCCGCAAGGCACCTGAGCTAATATTTCAAAATAAACAATAGTGTCAAATACCTGTCAGTATTCCAAGTTATGCAACTTAAATTTATCCCTGGCTTTTTGGACGCACGCCTAGGTTCCGGTCTCACGTGATCCTTCATTTTGCGCGTTTCGCTCTTGCCAAGGTGCACCATCGCCGTCACTCTGCTGCCTGTTGTATTTTGGCCGGTGAGCGACGACGGGAGCAGCTGCGATCGCCTACCTCCACGTGTTGTAGAAGAGCAGAGGGATATTGAGGCCCACTGTCAGCCATTCCTGTGCGCACAGGAACATGATGCAGAACAGCCCGTGAATGGAGTACTCAGGCAGGACGAGCTGGTGGAATGAAGCAGAAACAGAGTAACGGCTTGGCTGCAGCCCCCACCCCCCCGTTCCTCTAACGTGAACAGACACATAACCTCACATCTGCCACTCATTCATCTATAAAGACGGACACGGCTGGCTTGGCCCAGAGATTTCTGTTGCGTTGTTGCGGTACAAAAATAAGCGAGTGTGTATTACTCATTGCATATTTGCTCCAGGGATTGGCTTGAAATGACAGGTTCACATCTCGAGACAGTAAATCTGAGTTATTCCTAGGAGGCCAGATCTCTATGGCCCGTGGAGTAAATGTAAGAACATAAATCCCAGGAAGGATTTTAGCAAAATGTAAATGAATCATTATTTAAAATTTAAACACTATATACTTAGATGTGTTACTATCCATACATTCATTTTCCACACCTGCTTGTTCCATGCAGGGTCCAGAGTCTGTCCCAGAAGCTACAGGCACAAGGCAGGGAACAACCCAGGATGGGGCACCAACCCATGGCAGGGCACAAGGCAGGGAACAACCCAGGATGGGGCACCAACCCATCGCAGGGCACAAGGCAGGGAACAACCCAGGATGGGGCGCCAACCCATCGCAGGGCACACTCACACACCATTTACTCACACATTCATTTCTGTTTATAATTTGGTACCTCCAATTCACGTCTGCATGTTTTTGGACTGTGGGGGGAAAGTAAAATACCCAGAGGAAACCCCACAATGACATGGGGAGAACACGCAAACCCCACGATGACACGGGGAGCACATGCAAACCCCACGATGACACGGGGAGCACATGCAAACCCCACGATGACACGGGGAGCACATGCAAACCCCACGGTGACACGGGGAGCACATGCAAACCCCACGATGACACGGGGAGAACACGCAAACCCCACACACATGGAGCTGGGGCGGAGACTTGGTCTCTAGAGGTGTGAGGTTAATGTGCTAACCACTGCACCCCCATGCCGCCCACATGTGTTACTAGTTTGTGTTAATTTATGCAATGGCATTATTAATACAAGAAAAGAGCCCCAATTCAACGCCAACGCCATACAAATAATTAAACATGTTTTTATTTACATTAGTACAAACACAAAATACTCACAGGGACATGACTTTCCGTGACACTTTCTAGTTATAATTTGCAGGAACAATAAGGCGGATATAAAAATACACAGAAGCATAATTCTAGTCCCCATTCACAGTTTGTGTTTAGAGAGGCAACACGGACACACAGTTTTCTTACCATTTTGTTACTGGATAACTTCTCTCAGAAATAATTCTGTTTATCTAAAGGACAGAGGTAAGAATATAATGTGTTCTACAGTATTACAATAGTGGATTTTTCCAAATAGAGAAAATGTTCTTTTTGAATGACAATAAAACTGTAGTAATGAGTTATTTCAAAGTTACTTGTGTTTCATAATTTAATCTCAGAAATAGAGCAGCTACTACCTTCTCTGCCTTCATACACTGACTGCCTCTGTGGTGGCAACTGTAAGAAAACAACTGTGAAGCATAAATAACGAGGTGAGGCGGGCGCAGGCTGCACGGCCCCTGTCAGGCTGACTAGAGCTGCTTAGTGTTCCCGTCGACTCCTCTGTGGCTTCATTCAGCATAGCTGGCGAAGTGGGAGGACAGCGAACAGGGACTCGCGGCACGGGCTCGCGGCACTCAGCGCCGTGACTCAGCCAGCCCATGTGCCCAGATGGGAAATGATCAATACTGTCCTACACAGAGCTACATCGCAGCAGCGTGGTGGACGCACACCGGCAGGGTTGTCGGTTCTATTCCCACCCCAAACTCTGTATGTGGGCATTTTATATGTTCTGCCCTTGCTTGCGTTGGTTACCTCTGGGTACTCCAGACCTCCTGAAGTGCATGAACATGTGGTGAGGTGAATTTAGGTACTCCAAAATACCTGTGGTGTGTGTACCCTGTGATGCACTGGGCCCCATTCGGGGAATCCCACTGCCCAGTACTCTGTGATTCCTGGGATGAGCGCCTGACTCGTCAAAACCCTGCACCAGATAAACGATTATGTAAGACAGACGGAAAGAGCAATATAGTGCCGTATAAGGTAGGCTGCTATATGATTTCGTTTATGCATATATATTTATGCATATTATATTAGTCTGCCTTTACCATCAATGGTAAGTGTTTTGGTAATAATTTATCCCCCACAACCATAAGCAAAAGCTAATTTTTTTTTTGCCTTACCGACACCTCAGTCCACCGAGTTCCTGCATTTTTATGCAATGTGCGACATGCACCCATGCATTATTAAACATGCGCCGAACACGCTTCACTGGCGCATCTCACGGCAGCAGGCGACAGGAAAATCAGTGGATGAGTGTTGAAAATAAAGATGTCCATAAAATTGTAAATAGACTTTAAACCTTGTTCCAAAGTTGACCTTTAACGCCCCCCCCCCCAACCCCAACCCCCTACTACTAATTTAGGAGTCCACAGTCTTCATGGAAATCATAGAGGCTTGGTAGTACTGGACAGAAATTCTGTGCTGTGAGCATCTACAGGGAAATGGCACAATCATGGGTATAAGGGCAAATGCATGGTTTGGAAAACACGATGCAGACATGCGTGGTGATGCCGCCGGTAATGCGTCTGGCTGTCCCCTCACTGCCGTCATTTTTGGGAAATCACTGCAGATGGGCCAGAATGACACTGTGCCTTCAGCTCCCGCATCGGCGTCCGCTGTGTCCTCACGTCACAGAGCATCTCTGCCTCCCTGATTTTCTCCTCATGAGGCTTTGGACTTTGGCTGCAGAAGATTTGCCTTTAAAAGTTACTTGGTAGAGAAGAAAATGGAAGCAGGTTCTTCAAAGTATTTTATATATTGTATATAATGGCTGAAAACTAAATTAATTTGTTAAATGGCCAATGTTAATGTCTCCGTCAGAACTAAGTACTCCTGTAGCCAGAACTGTGCCTTGACACCTCCTGAAGTCCTTCCTACCACGGCTCTGTGTGTGTGGGTGTTGAATGTCCAAAGTCATGTTTGTGCGTCAGGTTCCTTATGGACTGAGGTTACTTTGCACATATCATGACATGTAGCCAGGAGTTTCTGGTGTCTCTGACTTGCTCTGCATGAATGCCCGTGCTCTCAGATGAGCATCTCTACCCTGCTCTTCTTGGGACAGACTTCATGCTCACCGAAACCCTGCACTGGATCGGTCCTTCTAAGAAAATGAACGATTACTTCCGGTTGAATACCACACACCAAAAACAACGAGGTCAACAAATTGCAAGGTCTCTCATGATAGGAATCTTACCTCTAAGCTCCCATACATGCTGCTGGCTGTGTGTAATTCCCTTATAAGTGACTCCAAAAATGCTAACACAGAAGAATGCTCATTAATGTCTGTGATGCCTGCATGTGACTGAAATATAAAAGTAAAAAAACCTCTCTGGGCACCTCAAGGGGTACAGAAAGTAATGGCAGTTTCTCTATGCTTGCATCCACATTACATGGTTGTTTCAGAAGTAAAAAAATAAGTCTTTATATCAGTGTTTCCCAATCTGGTCCTTGGGGACCTACAGATGGTCCATGTTTTTGCTCCCTGCCAGACAGTCAGCATTTTTGCTCCCAATCAATTCCTCGGGGACCCACCGACGATCCACGTATTTGCTCCTTCCCAGCTCCCTGCTAACCAGTCAGCATTTTTGCTCCCAATCCGGTCCTCAGGGAACCCATAGACAGTCCACGTTTTTGCTCAGGAGGGAGCAAAAACATGGACCATCTGTGGGTTCCGAACAACCGGATTGGGAAACACCGTTTTGTATTCACTCACGCGTCGTCAAAGCCCATTGCAGGTCAAGAGCCCAGAACATCACGAGAAGGATACTGGCCAAACATACCACGGCCAGGAAACACGGGGACTGTAGAGGAAGACTATCAACATGGACTTTTTCCTGAGTGATTATGAGTGTTATAGCTCTTGCCAAGCACTCGTGGAGAGACCTCTCATGATGTAACACCCAACGAGGGTTCCGGTTCAATGTAGCACGCGCTCCGCCAAGCGTGCCCCCTCCTCCGAGGCCGGGGCTAATTATCCTCTCAGCGCTCCTCTCCCCCCTCACACACCACAGTCCTCTTACGGCAGCCACCAATTAATGCCACTTTAATTATATACTTTTTAGATGTTCCATTCGGGGGGGGAGGGTAATGCGCTGGTGGATCTTTGAGGAATAGATACTGAAAGAATCGGCGAACCTGCACTCTGGTGTTAATCGGCTCTTATCCTCCTGCCAGACACAGACATCACATAAGGGCTAAAATTTGTACCTTTGCTTCTTACTGCGGCTGCTCCCTCACTCCAAAGGTACAAACAACATTAATGTTCCTCCAATGGTACATTTCCATTTCTGTACCTTAAAAGGTACATTTACCTACAGCCAAGGGTGCAATTGGCAAACCCTTGAGGGTACAGCCCCAGTGACAAACAAAGGTACAAATTTTTACCCTTTTTTCTGAGAGTGTACAGACTTCCTTGGACCAGGGGCGCCAATGCAGACTGAAGTCAAGGGGCCTCCACTAAAAGGGGCCCCAAATAACCTTATTTAATTGAATTTAAAAAACTCCCCCACCCCGGTCAACAGCTTTTATTGTTACTGGCGATATCCCCCAGTCAACAACTGGACCAACAGTCTCTGACTCAGGCTAGGACAAAATTAACGACTACTCTGGCTTTATGTAAAATCTGGACCTGGAACCATGGACATTTAATTAGCATCCTTTGAGATGCAGTTCAATGGCTCTGGGCCTACGGTTTTCCTGAAAGCTGGAGCAGCATGAAAGCTTTGCACAGCAACTCTTGCTGTTCTTCACTGGCTCAGTCTGGCTCTATTAACTATTCATAAGGGCCCCTTTATTTTGTGGACACATTAGTCCCGATTCATTTTCCATCCCCAACATCCGCACTGTTGCTAAACGCAAGAAAAGTAGGTAAAACAAGGGCTGGTATCTCCTGAGACACAAC